TGTGACAATCGCTTACTCCAGTATTAAAATTTAGGGTGTTTTTACATACTGTTTGATCAGATGTTAATATGACATCAACAAGGGATGATTCGCAACCCTTTTTAAAACATGTTGGTGATTTAATAATATTATACAGATCGAAAATGTCACATATTTCAGCTAGACATTTGGATTTCTCTTCATTCATCATATCAAAATTCAAATCTCCAAAAATCATTTGAAAATTATTGTAATTTTTTACTGTGGTTAGATTTTTTATAAATGTACTTCTTCTTTAAATTATGTCTAATATTTTCTACAAAAGAGATCAAATCCAAATTATATTATTATGATCCTTTGAAATTTAAAAATTTATAGTATTGCAAATATGTATACTACTCTGTTTTGGGGGTTGCCAGTCACTGTTGACTAATTAGAAGCCAGTTAGAGTATGTTTACTTAGAATACACTTGTAAGAATAAGAAACAAAAGACTTTTTCACACCTCCCCCTCAATAATCTGTTGATGGTCAATTTGCAATCATATACATGATATACAGTTACTATTGTGTATTTCTTGACAATATGTCAAAGAGATTGAAACTTAGATTTCCCTCTCTAAACTGCATGTACATAAAATCTTTAAATTAAAGCCATACAACATTTACGATTATTATTTTTTTTTTACAATATGAAACCTGTACATAGAAGAACAAAAACATTTGTTTGTTTGTTGGTTTTTTTTTATATAACTGAAGAATATCAATTTATTTCTATTAAATAATATTGATTAAATATGAAGATGATACAATATTGATATTGTTACAAATAATAATTTATTTAGATAAAATGATGATGTTATTGTTTATAATCTAATGTTTTTTTTGAAAATAACGTTATATTTAAAAACTATGCTGTTATTTCATTAATTTTAAAAATGTAGGAGACTAAAAGATGAAGATACTGATATTTCAAGGAATAAAATTAAAAAAAAATCATTTCAAATTTGGTATTTAAATGTATGAATCTGTGGAGAAAAGTATGTAACTACAGTGTATGCGCATAGGTTCATAATAATTTAATTTTATATATATCACATAGATTTCATAAAAACTTATTTCAGTGTATACATAATTTTAATTGTTTTCTCTGGAAAGAAATGGTCCTCCCAGAAAACAAAAATTATACATGTAATATATATACTCACACAAATATATATCAATCTATATATATCAAATTATCATTGCATATAATTATACTTTTTTTCTATAAGTGCCATTTTGACCAAGTGCCGTTTTGACTAAGTTTTGACCAAGTGCCGTTTTGCATAATCCAAGTGCCGTTTTCACTAGGTGCCGTTTTCACCAGGTACCGTTTGAACCATAATTCTTTTAAAAACATGGAGAAATAAATTGAGAAACAGCACACTTTTTTGTGCGCAATAAATACAGTTTTTTTCAATGGGTGGCTCTGTAGCTCCCCGATCTGTCAATATATATTTTTTTGGAGAGCTACAGTTCTGCAGCTAAACCTGACCTAAACCTGAGTGTTTTGTTTTTTCCAGACACATATCCCAAAATCTATGGCCCCAAGAAGATAAACAGGTACATGTAATTACATTGTAAACCGATCAGTCATTTTAGATGTACAAAACAAATTTTGCTGTTACCAAACTCATTTACAGAGGTGATCAATTCATGTGTCCTGATTATTAAATTTCAGTATTCACTGACTGTATTAAAAATGTTCTCTTACAATTGTATTCTGAATGAGTGTGAATACTTAGCATATTGATTGACTGTGTAAGGACGTGCATGAAGTCATTTAGTGCCCTCTATATTCAAGCCACAATATGTATCGGTGTACTGCTATCATTACAAATATCACCATTTTCTTCTAACTTTTCAATATTTTGACACAGTTTCAGACTATTGTGAATATGTTACAATCTTTGCATTTTTAGGTCACCTGAGTAACTTGCTATCCGTTTTCGTCCGTCGTCGTGCGTCATGTGTTAACATTTGAACATTTTCAGCTTCTTCTCTGAAACCACTGAACCAATTTCAACCAAATTTAAAATACAGCATCTATGGGTGAAGGGGAACAAAAATTGTGAATTTTATGGTCCCCGCCCCCCTGGGGCCTGAGGGGTGGGGCCAAAACCACTAAATTCATGCATTCTTTAAAAATCTTCTTCTTTACTCCTGGACATCAAGCAGGCAAACTGTTGGCATGAATGTAATGAGCATTGAGTCCTCTACCAAAATTGTGAAATTCATGGCCCCAGGGTCAGGGGTTCTAGTGCTAGGGCGGGGCTATATAGAATATATAGTGAAAATGCATGCTTTCTTTGAAAATCTTCTTCTCTGCTCCTGGGTATTAAATAAACTAACCAAGCACATAGTTATGATGAGCAAGAGTGCCTCTACCAAATTTTTGAATTTTATGACCCCAGGGTCAGGGGTCTTGGTGTTAGGGCGGGGCTCTATTGGTTATATAGTGAAAAATGCATTATTTTATTCTTTAAAAATCTTCTTCTCTACTTCTGGGTATTAAATGAACTTACCTAGCACATAGTTATGATGAGCAAGAGTGCCTCTACCAAAATTGTGAATTTTATGACCTCAGGGTCAGGGGTTCTTAAGTGTTAGGGCGGGGCTCTATTGGTTATATAGTGAAAATGCATTTATTCTTTGAAAATCCTCTTCTCTACTTCTGGGTATTAAATAAACTAACTAATACATAGTTATGTTGATCAAGAGTGCCTTTTTCAAAATTGTGAATTTTGTGGCCCCAGGGTCAGGGGTTCTGGTGTTAGGGTGGGGCCCTATTTATTATATAGTGAAAATGCATTAATTCTTTGAAAATCTTCTTCTCTACTTCTGGGTATTAAATAAACTAACTAATACATAGTTATGTTGATCAAGAGTGCCTTTTTCAAAATTGTGAATTTTATGGCCCCAGGGTCAAGGGTTCTGGTGTTAGGGTGGGGCCCTATTTATTATATAGTGAAAATGCATTAATTCTTTGAAAATCTTCTTCTCTACTCCTGGGTATTGAATAAAGTAACCAAGCACATAGCTATGATGAGCAAGAGTACCTCTTCCAAAATTGTGAATTTTATGGTCCCAGGGTCAGGGGTCTGGTGTTAGGGTGGGGCCCTATGATCATATAGTGAATATGCATTAATTCTTTGAAAATCGTTCCTTTGCTCCTGGGTTTTATGCCAATGATCCAAGTATATATATTTATGATTAAGAAAGGTGCATCTAGCAAAATGGTTATTTTTTATGCCCCCCCCCCCCCCCCCCCCCCCGGTCGGTATTGGGTGAGGGGGGGGGGGGGGTGTACAAAGTCTGAAAATAAATTAATGCTTTGAAATCTGCTCTTTGGTATTAATCAACCATTTTATGATAAAATTTGCAACATTTTGAAATATTTGGCCCCAGGATCAGTGGTTCCTTTGGGATAAGGTGTACAGCTGGTTATAAAAAGGAAGTGCATTTTCTCTTAATGTTACTCTGATCTTTCTCTGGGTATTAAGTAAATAGAGTAAGCATGCCAAGTCTTTAATTATGATAAGCAATGGCACTGCCTCTTTCAAAATTGTGAATTGCGAATGTCATGGCCTCTGGTTTAAAACACGAACCAAATTTAATTGTTTGAAAGTTGTTGCACAATACTCAGGTGACCTATAAGGCCCGTGGGCCTCTTGTATGAGTATCTTACTCGTGGCATTGTACATCTTCCATTTCTTTTTCAGGTCCCCAACAGCTTTGTTAGAAGCTCTGGAAGAAAGTGTTGGCCATGTATGTAATTAAATAAATACAGAAATATCAACCATTTTATATACATGTATTTCTCATTTTTTAAAGAAGTTTTATATCAAAATCTAATGATATTTAGTGACTTATGTTTGGCTACAAGACTAACTCTTAATTTTACATGTATCATGTGTATGTTTAACTTTTAAGGAATGTCGAAGTTATGGGAAGTTTTCCATTGATGACCCAGCCTGTTACCATCGCCAGTTTAATAAGGTACTTATATATAACTGACATGTGTAAAAGACATGAACTCTACGATGACCAAATTTGTTTGTAATAAACATTATATATAAACAGCAATGCAACATAGCTTAAAAGACATATACTTAAGGAATCACTGTCTAGTTTTGAGAGTATGCCAGGGCATCAACATTAGTGGGAAACATGGGATAATTTGCATAATGGGCACTATTGTTATTTCCCACTATTGTTGATGTCCCTGGCATACTCTCAAAACTAGACAGTGATTCCTTATATTTCCATTTCATTGTGAAATAAATTGTAGACTTAGACTTTAAAAATGTAGACTAATCGATTTAAATTACACGAGGACTTCCATGCCAATTTCAATAGTCCTCGCACACTGACGTCAAACACAAAGGCAGCCGCATGAGATTTACATGCATATTTGGCCTCCTTAGCGTCAGACACAGAGACAGATGCACACGAGATTTGCATGCGTATTAGGCCTCCTTAGCTGCTGACCTATCGACCTGCCTAATTTACATTCTGGAAGGATTATCAAGAAATAAATTCCCCCAACTTTTAAACAGTTAACACAGAGAAAAAAAAATTAGAAATGGAAATATATATTTCATAAATATACATAGATGAATATTTTAAGGATATAGTATTTGTCAAAAATTTCTGTTTATAATAACTTCATCTTAGCATATTAAAAATGGAGCATAGTTGATTGAAGAACAAATAAAGTGGGACAAACATTACGTAATAATGATAAGTTGTGCACTCAAAAGAATGAGTGACTCCAATTGTTTACTATGTTTGAACCAAACTGTTTCTTATAATAGACATAATGAGAAGGACTTTCAATCAAAAATACTTAACTTGTGATTAACTATTTACATGTAATTAATGTTTATTATCATATGTATACTTAAAAAAATAGTGGGCTCATATTTTAGCCACTTTGGCATGGACAACAATGCACTAATGAACACCACTAATACTTCATTTGTGAATGCAATAAATGGTTTGTTTGTTTGTAGCACTAATCCATGAATGTGCCAACAACTCAATACCAAGTGATTGGGCTAAATTTTGAATACAACAATTAACAGCAGTACACATACAGTAATTTGATGTTATACTTTTCAGGCAGAAATGATGCTTTCTACAGCATCAGGGAGGAAAGCGGCCAGAATGATGATGAGTATGTACCCCCAGGTGTTTGAGGGGACACCTGCTCACATACCTGTGGAACCCCCAACTAAGGTGAGAATGTGTGTGGCACTGCCCAGGGGGCTCTGAGATTTAATGTTTGAAACTCACTGTAAAATAAGATAGACATGCAGGGCTGACTGCTAGTAAAAGTTGTTATCCCTGCCAAAAATTGAGAAGCCCGAGAAAATATTTGTCTTTGATGAATTCGTTATAACAATAATGTGAATGGAGCCAAATCACCACATCTTCGATTCCAAACCTATACGCTGATGAATTCTGCCCATTTGCTTGTTAAACTTTGCTGCCGATACTATTAGTAATTTGAGAGAGATTTATCAAAGATATAAATTCTGATTAATGGATAATTTTTACACATAAAGTTGGATGTTAATACATGCAAGTCTGTTCGCCTGTAACAAAAGTTGTGCATCTCGGGTGGGCGGGCACACGGTTATTTCAAACACTGATCTAAACCCTTGTTCTAGATATGTCTGATCAAAAAGTAAAATAGGAGGTGCACAATGGCACTATATAACAAGTAATCTGTGAAAGTATCATTAAATTTCATTCAGTGGTATAGGAGGAGTAGTGGATGAGAGATGGGTACCCCAAAGCGTAACAGACAGAAGTACAGCTAGATGACCAGATGGACGTACAATTTCAAGCGGGGGGTATAATAAAATGTGGAAAGGGCAAAAATACAGCATACAAAAGTGACATTTATATAAGGCTCTTAGATCTTGGGCCTTTATTTTCTTGTGGAACTGTTTACTTAGTCAAGACAGAACTCACCCAGAGTTCAGCATTTGAGAGTCTTTTTCTGGACCTGGCCTGGGGGCCATAAAACTTAGATGGGCTCACTTTTCCACTACATGTATTAGTTCTTTGGAAAAAGTTAAACCGAGATCAAAAGTGAGCTCATCTAAGTTTTATGTCTCCCAGGCTTGCAGAACTGTTTAGTATACAGTAAAACACAGTCATAGCACACACACTCATAATGAATTGTGACTTTACTAGGAATTTATAACTTGATATAACAAATTCCTTTTATAAAGAAGCAAAATTGTCCATCCCTAGCATTTTGTTATATGTGTGTTCTACTGTATATGATTCAAGATGGTAGCACAGGCCATTAGCCTGATAAGCAATGAGAAATCTTGACCTCTGCTCATATGCTTGATAACTGAGAAAATATGGTGAAGCTAAACTTAAGTCTTTTAATCTTTACTCTTCAGGAAACTACTTAAGATTTCAAATACAGGCATAACTTAATAGCATACACTGTTCATGTATTTTTTTCTAGTTTTACTTTAAAATTACAGGTATTTGATCCTGTTGTGAGTAAAGAAAGTGAAGATAATTTAGAGGAAGCAATTAAAGAGCAGATGGAGCAAAGAGATGTAGAAAAGGTTTTGGCACTTTGCCATAAAATGATTCCAGAAGGTGAAGAAATTTTCTATCCTTTCATAAATTGTTACTGTGTCACAGGCAAATAGTCAGTGTAACTTCAGTGTTTCAAACATGAATATGTTAAATACCATGGATGTGTGTTGGAGGTCCCAGTCATTTGTATATTTCAATTTCTCGAACACACACTGTAGAATCACAAATTTTTGTTGGGATAAAATTTTGATGATTTGTCATCAAATATAGTTTCGTTGGCATTTAATTTCGTTGTCTTGAAAGTAACCCAATTCAATATATAGTCATATAGTGTGGGATTTAATTTCGTTGATAATTGTTAACAACGAAATTTAATCCCCCACAAATATTTGTGCTTTTACTGTAAGATTTCTTTAAGTTTTCTTGAGATCCACGGAGTTTTAGTTAAAGAAGTTTGGACTGTATTTATGACATTGTCATGTTGTGAAGCTTTCCATGATAAGAAATTAATTAAGTCTGCTTATTACAGGGAATACGATGTCTGGAGAAACCATAGAACGTTTGATTCATTTCCTCAGCTTCTATTACCAGAGGGACCACACTGCCACAGAACCAGAGGAGATCGAACTCATGGAGAAAGTCAAAGCTGAAAAATACTTACCGTAAGTTTGAAAGGATAAATTAAAAAGGAGAGAAATACTTGCTGTAAGTTTAAAGGGATAAATTAAAAAGGGGAAAAATACTTGCTGTAAGTTTGAAAGGATAAATTAAAGAGGGGGAATATACTTACCTTAAGTTTGAAAGGATAAATTAAAAAGGGGGAAAATACTTACTGTAAGTTTGAAAGGATAAATTAAAGAGGGAAAAATATTTACCGTAAGTTTGAAAGGATAAATTAAAGAGGGGGAAAATACTTACCGTAAGTTTGATAGGATAAATTAAAGAGGGAAAAATACTTACCGTAAGTTTGAAAGGATAAATTAAAGAGGGAAAAATACTTACCGTAAGTTTGAAAGGATAAATTAAAGAGGGAAAAATACTTACCATAAGTTTGAAAGGATAAATTAAAGAGGGAAAAATACTTGCCCATAAGTTTAAAAGAATAAATTAAGGACAGGCAATGCGTTACTAAATAACATATAATTTTTTGCAAGATTTTGCCATTATATGGTGTTACCTATATTATCCTTCTGGAAAAAACTTAAACTGCCAAAATCAAAAATTTTAGCATTGTAAATTTTAAATGATAAGTAGAAACCAGTTTAGAAATCACTTAAGGAATGACTCTAATTCTTGGCCATATTATCGAGTATAATCTGGTTTGGGGCAATTAAGGCTTTATAATCCTTCTGGAAAAAACTTAAATTGCCAAAATCAAAAAATTTTACCATTGTAAACATTTAATGATAATAAGTAACCAGTTAAGAAATCACATAATTATAATTTTGAATTTTTTTTTTCATATATTACAAAGATATACAGAACAAATATCTGAACGCTTGCTATAAATTTGAAAGGATAAATTCAAAGCGGAAAAATACTTCGCAATGCCATTATTTTGAAAGGAGAAATGTCTAGGAAGAAAAAGACCTGCAGGAAAGAGAGTTTTTTGAGCTTATTAATAATAAAAGTCAAGGGGAAAACACACATCTAGCCTTAAAGCAAACATACCCAAAATGTTTCATAAATAAATAAAATCACTTTTTTTGTTTTTTTTGGTTTTTATTTTATCTTCATAGAAATCTATTTGAGTTGTCATTGTATTTTTTCATATTTACAGATTAGATAGTGTTCTGAACGATTTGTTCTTATTCGAAGCAGAGAAGTCCCCTGCTGTGTATAATTCATTCATTCGACAGTATCTAAATTCTTCAGAGGTGTGTAGAAATGATAATATATTATATATATAATTTACATGTACTAAGTGTACTGCTGTTTAGAATTCATTCATATTACAGTATCTGAATTCTGAGGTAACTATATATGAACATGTACCAAGTATTTACATTCACATGTACCAAGAAGTCAGCAGGTATGATGTTCTGACTTCACAACCAACCCCCCAACCCCCCTAAAAAAAATCAGAATGAACAAGATGTGTTTGTAAAACACTGATACCCCGTATGGCAACATAGCAAAGATTAAGCTTTTCTTAAATGCAAATTAAATTGATTGGTACCAAAAGTTGGGTATTCTCACTGGAAAACAATTGTGAAATTTGAAAGTAAGCTAATGTTAAAGTTTTTTAATAAATACAAAAATCTCCAAGGTCAAGGTCAAAAGGTCAATGTAAATAGTATCAAATGAAAGGTCTAGCCACATAAAATACTTATGCAGAGCATGAAAGCCCTAGCCCTAACCGTTCAGAAGTTATGGTCAACGTTCAATTTCTTAAGAAGTAGGTCAAACTCCAAGGTCAAGGTCAAAGGGTCAAAGTTATTGTTATCAAATGAAAGATCTTGTCATAAGGATCAAATATGTAAAGTATGAAAGCACTATCCCTTACTCTTTAAAAGTTATGGTCAAGATTTGCTTTTTTAAAGTAGGTCAATCTCAAAGGTCAAGGTCAAAGGGTCACAGTTCTTGATATCCAATGAAGGGTCTTTTCACAAGGATTAGGCCATAAAAAATTGAAATATTGGTTCTCAGGCCCGCTCGCATCCGTTTTGAGGTAGCTGCATCGCTAATTTTATTGTATTTTTGAAAAAATAAAAAGTTAGCATTGCGGAGACCAATCCGGAAAAAAAAAATTCCGACCTCATTTGTTTCGTAGTTTAGTATTTAAATATCACTTCCGGTAGCCATTTGCAATGAGATTTTGGCTACTTCGTTTGAAAATACATTTGAGGACATTACCTACGATATTAACACACTGATAAGCAATGGATAAAGCAGAAATTTTGAACAGATATGGAAAGTATATCTGACATTAAAAAAATTATCTTTATGTTAAAGAAAATTCGAAAATTAAAATAAAAAAATACCTCCCTCATCTACTTTATTGCCAATAAAATTAAAAATAAAAATGCCGCCCTCCCGCATCTGTTTTGGAGAAAATTGGGCTGAGAACCAGGGAATTAAATTTAGATAGCCTTACATATATGAAGTATGAAAGCCCTATCCCTTACCGTTCAAAAGTTATGGCCAAGGTTAAAGTTTTTTCACAAGTACGGAAATCTACAAGGTCAAGGTCAAAGGGTCAAGTTTATTGGTATTCAGTGAAAGGTCTTTTAACAAACATTACATATATGAAGTATAAATGTCCTGGTGTCAACAGTTCAAAAGATATGGCCAAAGTAAAATTTTAAATTTTCATGTAAAAGTGGGTCAAACTCCAAGGTCAAGGTCAAAAGGTCAGATTTGATGGTACCCAAAGAAAGGTCTTGTCACAAGGAATACACATATGAAATATGAAAGTCATAGCTCTACTAAATCAAAAGTTATGGGCAAGGTTAAAGTTTTTGCGGACAAACAGACAAACAGAGAGACAGACAGACAGACAGACGGACACGACAAAAACTATATACCCCTGAAAGTTCGTTTACGGGGGTATAAAAATATACTCTAACTTTCTTAAGCAAATTAATTATACTTTTTATTGAATATTTCTTTAAAAGGTTTTGGTAAATGAAGAATTTTTTTTCTATTCATAATCAGACTACATGTATTTTCAGATGAAAAGGCCAAAAGAATGTCTGAGATTTTACGAAACAATGAGGAACACTAAAACACCGTGTAAGTATAGAAAAGGGTGTATTGCAAGATGCCAGAAACAAACATTGGTTTCAATATAATTTCTTTTTTTTATTTGCTTTATCAAAAGTGCTATAATTTTAAAGGTACTTGGACACAGATTTGGGGGTAATTTTTTCTGTATAATATTACGACTTACATGTATATATTTTAATAGCATTTCACACAAAAATTAATTAAAAATTTTATTTCATTTAAAAGTTATTAAAACTTTAAATTTTTTTGGGGGGGGGTTGATTGACACATCCTTGCACTTTCACAAATTTTACGTTTTCTCTTAATACTTAGGGAAAATGGCAATCTTGTTGTGTATAAATGAAAAATATTAATACTATAATCCAGAAAAATCAGAGTTGACATGTTTTCGAAAGCAAAACAAACGCACAATATATTCTCAGTCCGTGCAGTTGTGGTGAGCAGACTTTAACGGCTGAACGCACCCGGTGAATCATAAACAATCAACAATAACAGAGCTCCTGTCCTGTTTACAAAAACTGTGTTCATAACAAGGGTGTGATCCATTTGCACACAAGATTTAGTTCAGAATGACAAAACTTGTGAAGGAATTTTGCTTTGTAACATTTTTACTCTGAAAAAAATTATTTTTCTAGATTAAGTTTTAATATTACTCATTAATACACAAAAAGATTGCCACTTTACCAAAGGATTAAGAATAAAGTTAAAATTTGTGAAGGTGCAAGGATGTGTCAATCAAACCCGCCAAAAAATTTGAAGTTTTAATAACTTTTAAATGAAAAAAGATTTTTAATTAATTTTTGTGTGAAATGCTTTTGAAATATATAATTCATGATATTAATCAGAAAATATTAACTTCAAATCTGTGTCCAAGTACCTTTAAGGGTAATTTCACTCTGTATACATGTATACCTGAATTTTTATCTGCAAATCCTTTGTTAGCCATTAGTGGGACATTTTCTATGTTTTAATGAAATAAAATTTTTAAGAAACCATTCGTAATTGCAGTGTTAATTAAAATTATGAAGGTTGAACATTTATACATATTTAGGTCACCTGAGTCACTTAGGTGACCTATTGCTATCTGTTTTATTCCGTCGTCATGTGTCTTGTGTTGACATTTGAACATTCTCAACTTCTTCTCTGAAACCACTGAACCAGTTTCAACCAAATTTGGTATGCATCATCTATGGATGAAGGGGGGAAAATGGTGAATTTCATGGTCCTTGCCCCCTGGGGGTTGGGGCCACAACTACTAAAGTTAATCATGTTAATGCAATCTTTAAAAATCTTCACCACTCCTGGACATCAAACAATCAAACTGATGGTATGAATGTAATGAGCATTGAGATCTCTACCAAAATTGTGAAATTCATGGCGCCAGGGTCAAGGGTTCTAGTGTTATGGAGGTGCTATATAAATTATATAGTGAAATGTTAAATCTTTGGAAAATCTTCTCTGCTCCTGTGTATTAAATAAACTAACTAAGTACACAGTTATGAAGAGCAAGAGTGCCACTTCCAAAATTGTGAATTTTATGGCCCCAGGGTCAGGGTTTCTGACATTAGGGCGGGGCTCTATTGATTATTATAGTGAAAATACATTAAATATTTGAAAATCTTCTTCTCTGCTCCTGGGTATTAAGTAAACTAACTTTATATAATTCAACCAAAGGATGAGGTGACTTGTGGCCCCTCGTATACTGGCAAAAAATTAAATGTCAAAATTTTACTCAATTTTTTGTATGTAACTAATCACTGATATGTGTACTTTTTGGGAGTTGAACTATGTTCAATCTCCCATGGTCATCAGGCATTTAACATGGGCAGTAGTTTGTGTCGATTATATAGAGCCGAAAGCGAGGCAACTGTGTCGCCCGATTTACTCCGATGATATTCAACAGAAAACATACATAAACATCCGCCACAAATAGTTCATGTCATTTTCTCCTGAATTGATCTAATTTTCATAATTTGAAATGTAAGTAAATGTAATGATAAAGTAATCTTATTTTGAATATTAGATTTCGTTCAAAGTAAAACTAAATTATAAAGAACCTCAAAAGTTTTTCGTAATGGAACTCATTTTCAGTGTAGCGTCATACACTGAAAAAGATACGAACGACAACTCTACATACTGATGGCAAGCGGTGAATCTAGTCTTTTCGACGCGTTCGGTCCTGGATTTTTAGCAATATCTTTTTTACCGCTGCAGAGAATTTATTCAAACTTTTCATGAACATTTATTTGGTTTAAATTAATTCATTAATGCATTAAAACTTTAAAAAAGATTAAGTTCTGACGTACCCCATGTATAATGTTCATTTAACTGAAATACATTTATATTCACAGAGAAGTTTTATATAACAAACCTATTAGCTCTTAAAAGGATGCTGTGTTAAAATCCACATTATATCAATATTGATATTATTCCTGCGAAACTGAAATTTTCATAACACATGGGTAAAGGTGCCAAGGAAAAATATATTAACAAATTTGAAGACTGCATGTGAGCAGTGAATTCTATAAATGATCAACCGCCTCTAATATGAATATGTTTTGCAATGGGAAACCGAAATTATGTGTAGGATGAAAAAGTAATAGAAGGTGCACAACGGCAATATGTAATAAAGATTCTATGAAAATTTCGTTCAGTGGTGTAAGAGGAGTTGCGGATAAGAGATGGGTATACCTAAAGCGTAACAAACAGATGGACGGAATTCCCGATTAATAAATAGCCTCCCGCTTTTCAAGCAGGGGGTATAAAAAAGGACTAATGTAGGCAGGCAGGCATTATGGCCCATCCAATTTTTTTGCTATTCAATGTCCCTGAATGTCTTTCTCAAGGTTGTTGCAACACAAAAAATTTGAAACAGTTGTCTGTATTTGAAATAATAATGTATTGTTTACTCACTTAACCTCCCGATCAAAGATTTTGTTATACACCATGTTCAACTCCCATGAGTGCGTTCAGTACTTTGATATAGAATACTATTTTTAACAAAAATAGCAACGTGATTTGAAGATATAAATCTATTATTGGGTAGGGATATCATGTTTATGTTCAATTCCCATTGCATTTAAACCCGCCCCACTCTTTGAATCCCCTAAAATATACGAGCGCAGATAGGTACAATTTTCTCCTTTGGCTGGTCACTGTATTTTATTGAAATCTACCTATATGTGAAAGGAGAAAATTGTACCTAACTGCGCTCACATGCTATTTTTTAAAAAATTGTAAAATCTAGTTGGCCGTTCCCATTATAAACAGATCGACGGAACTAGATTTTCTGATGCAAGAATGAATTCGTATGTTAATCGAGGCACAGGCGATACTTTCTAACTGATCAATCAGCTAAATGAAATTCGTTAGTACCACAAAAATACTATGGAAACATGCTTGGATTTTACTGCTTTCCGATATCTTTTTATGCATTTGAGTCACAGATTAGACACGGATCTACATATGTACCATTTCCGAGACCACTGTAAAATTTGTATACAGTTACAAACAATTGATGGAATATACACGATATACATTTACAATGAAGCGCATTTAAGTGGTAAAATTTTCCGTTTGGATGGATTGTTTTGAGCGATCTTTAGACACACCCATTTCTTTAGAAAGGAAAAATCGGTCAAATGATTTAATCGAATACCTGTAGAACAGGTATTCAATAAATATAGTAGCCAATCAAATTGACGGTCTACATAAACACCGATTAAGCACGTGTTCGACTGATACCTGTGTTATGCTAACTCCAATAAACATGATAAAATCATAATTATGTACAAATTTGTTGCAATGCATGTTTTACAGAAGCGAGGACTTTATATATAGCCCTTTCTTATTTGAAAATCTTCATTTCAGTGAAACTCATGTTGCTTGTCGTGGAAAGTGGGGTGCCCTAAAACATTACGACGAATATTTCTTTCTCGTTTCTAAAGAAATGGGCGTGTCATTCTGTTATAATTGACATTCAAAACATGACTCAGAACGTTTCACCCAAAAGGAACCACTTCAATGCGCTTCATTGTAAGTTTTGTAGAGTGTTTGGTGAGCAATTCGCTAGGTCTACACGTATTCCCGAGTATTGGTGAATACAAGTTCCATATGCATTTCTTGTACTGAAAACCGTAAATGCTGAAAATCCATGCGTATTATTAAGTACAAACAGCATTGGCTGATCATTATAAAAGTTTGAAATGTAGAAAAGGACAACAGGTAAATTTACCTAAACCACGTTTCTGCAATAAAATGTACACGTAGTAAACCAGCATGTTTTGTTGTGGACTGTAATCGGATTGGACAATGACCAGGTGCGAAATAATAACAATAGCCATTTAAGGTCTTCTCGGACACGCATATCCCTCTTTTGTACTAAGACCCGCCCATTCTCTTGCTAGAAAATATTCTCACAAACCTGGCCGCATTTAGCTATGATAGGGTCTAAAAAATCAAAAATAATGCAGTATTCCTTATAATTAAAATGTGTCTGAATATTGAAACTATTCAAAAGGTGTCGTATTTATTCACTCATGTTTGAAAACTAACAACATCGTTGTAGATTAAATATAATTTGACGTGGAAAAAGGGGCCCCAGGTAGCAGTTATGTCACATCATCCTTTGTGAATTTCATGGCCTCTTGGTTAGGTGTTTTTCCATTTGGTGTAAGGGAGGGGGATTCTCTTGATTATATAGTGAAAATATGTTAATTCTTTGAAAATCTTTTCCTTTGCACCTGGGTATTATGCCAATCAATTATCTAAGTATATATATTTATGATGAAGAAAGGTGCATCTTGCAATATTGTTAATATCATGCCCCCTGGGTCAGTGGTGTTGGGGTGGGTGGGGAGGGAGGGGGGGTACATACCAGTAGTCTGAAAATAAATTAATGCTTTGAAATCTGCTCTTTGGTATTAATCAACCATTTATGATGAAATAAAATTCTTAAAATTCCCAAAATTGTGAAATGTGTGGCCCCAGGTGTCAGTTTACTCATG